TTAAGGGGGTCTGAATACTTTCCGTACCCACTGTATATATATACGGTATGCAAGGGTCTTGCAAATATGCTAGTTTGAAATAGATTTATCTGCCACATGCATCTCAGAATACTATCTTAGTTACACTTTTTGTAGATTTAATACAAAGGCATGAAGTATCTTTTATCTTATGACACTAAGTCACACTAAGAATTGCGTATCAAAATCAGAATAATTTAAACAGCCTCTCTGAAATGTATATCTAGATTTGAAATATGTTGTACTTACAGTGAGATATGCACCATGTCACATGATGGGGTGAATTCTCAATGAGCACCTTCAGACTATCATTTACAGTAAATTATATGATATTTTTCTTAATGTTTTGTAGTTTGCATTGTGGGAGAGTGAAAAATGTCAGTGGGCCTGCTAATATAATGTGCAATGCAACTTTCATTTCAAAATAACTTCAACAGAAAAACATCTGACACTGATATCTTTGTTCTTTAAATGTAGCTTATACTCAAGGATTGTATTTAATACAGAATGCAGTTTTTACATACTGTAAAAGTGCCATAATGGTGATACAACAAATATTTTTCACTAACAGATAAAATTTATTCTTGCTATATAACTAACCATAAAATTACCCATTACCTGTTTATAAAATCTTACAATATCAAATATCTTAGAGACTAAAGTCACACCTTCAACCTAAATCATCGAATCTATTTAATTTAACAGAAACATGAATTCCTGAATTCAAATAAGTCTGTAAAGATTATAAATAAATATTTGCGTCATTTTATATGCTTATCCCAATGATTGTCTACAACCAAAATGGAATCCAACAAAGGCACCACACAATACCTAAAATAATTAAACTCTTTTACACTGCATCATACAATTATTAATAGGTATCTGAGCAGCTAAAAGAGAAAATAAGCCAGTGCTCACAATCAAAGATCACACCTTTCTAAGTTTGTACAGTAAGACCAAAAATAGACCACAGTGATACACGTCTGCTCAAGCACTAGATCACAAAGCAGTGTGTGCTGATTAGATATTAAAAGAAGAGAAAAATAGATAAACATGTGGAAAGAGCATTTAACTGTAGTATCAATAACAGTGGTGTGCAGTAATAATGCTTTCGACTGAGTCATGGCATGTTGATAAGAGACTGGTTCAAGGGCAAGAAAAGGCACAGAAAACAGACCCACACAGTGGGGTGAAGAGCAGCAGCTGGCAGCAGGTCAGCTCAAAAACACACAGGACTTGCACAGGTACGTCGATAGGTCGCTTTCGAGAGCGTTTACAACTCGGCCCACTCTGATACGACACCTACAGTGAAACGAGATCTTCAGACTTGTGCAAACTTCACCATATCAGCAGCTGAACAACATTCAGAGATGGCCGAACCGTTTCAGTCGACTTTCAGTGGAATGAACTTATTTGCCTAGAGTAGCAATGCTTCACGATATAAAATAAAGAGCAAACTGGTATTCCCTCCACCATCCATTAATAACTCGCCCGGTGAATTGTCTGTGGATACTTGATTATCAGTATCATCCTACCTCCTGTTTCAAAGGAGCTTTTTGAACAA